TAAATGAATAAAATGTGATTGCTACATGTCAGAATTTATCAAGAGATTTCTATTCCTCCTTCTGATGAGTCTGTTAGGTCTTCATTTCTGAAATAAAATATTTTTGAGTAATAAAAAAAAGCCACTCAACCTCTCAGAACTATTTTCTTCAGGAATGATATTGGATGCAGATGAAAAATAGGTCACTTTCACCGTTCCATTCCACTTTTCGTGCCTCTCTCTCTAGATGTGCCTACAGATTGAGCTCCACTCAAGATCAACTGAGAGTTTGCATAGTATGTGGAAATTGCTAAACCCCACCTTCTGCTGCAGCAAAAAAGGGTTAATGCAAGGAATGAAGTTGGCAATGCAGGAACCAGCAGTTCCCACATTAAGAGAGACCTGTGGTGCCAACATCGATCAGACACTTTCCAAGACCATCAAGAGAATGGTCAAGTACTTGCTGATTCAGAAAGGCAGGAGAAAAACTGACTTTGACTTCTGTGTACTGCAGTGGACAAATATTCTGTTTATATATGGTTTTATTCTTTTCTTCCAAAAGACTAACCTAGTCATGTTTTGTCTAAGAGACTTCTGGTGAATACAGTTAGTCCTCATTTAGCAACCACAATTGGGACTGGCAACTAAGTCATTAAGTGAAGTGATCACTAAGTGAAAGCACGATTGTGCTTATGATCTTATTTCAGGTTTCCTTTGCTTTACAGACCTGCGAAGGTCATAAATACAAGGATTGGTCATAAAGTTACTTCTTCCTTACCACCATAACTGTGAACAGTTACTAAACAAGGCAGTTGCTAAACAAGGACTACCTGCAAACCAATCCTTGAATAGGAGAGCCAAAATGAACAGCTGAGTCTGGTGTGAAGTCTGAATGGCAATGTGTGGAGTTATGGAGTACAAGGAAAAAATGCAAATAACTGTTCTAAGCCAATGTCTTCAGCTATCATATTTCTTTGTTGTTGTTGTTTAGTCGTTAAGTCGTGTCCGACTCTTCGTGACCCCATGAAC